GCAAGAATAATAATTCATTAAATTCCAAGAATTTTTTAATTTATCAATTAGCTTCGCAAGCTGAAATAAACTATTAAAGTATCATGTAATTATTATTATTAAGCATGATTTCTGCCGAGGATGTACGGCCCGATCCAGAGTGTCGTGTACACTGCCGAGGGATGTGCGGCGCGATCCATAGATGCATCTATCCTGCCGAGGCATTCGGTCCGCTCCACAAGAAAGGGGGATATTTTTTTATGTACCTCCGGAAGGAGAGTATATTTATTATAAGATAAATTCGGGAGGAAGAATAATTTCTTTTAACCATTAATTAATTTAAACAGAAAAATCAAGCATATGAATTTTTTCATCCTTTAATATTTTTATCTAACGATTCACAACATATATATAAATATATCAAATAATATTAATTAAACAAGGAATACAATTTACACAAGCAATTCATGCTTTGAGTCCTAAACTACCCGGACTTTAGCATTAATAGTAGCTACGCACGGTCTCTCATCACCTCGTGTGTACGTAGCCCCCGCAATTATCAACAATTATTCAATTTAATCCCTATGAGGTAATTCTTCCCCCTCAAGATTAGACAAGAGACTCACCTCATCTCAAAGTCCACTTTCCGATTATCGCGTCGCGTAAAATTCTCGATTCAATGCCGAAAAATCCGAAACTATCCAAAAGTTATATAAAATAATTAATATATGTTCAATAATTCGAAATTCATCTATTAAATAAATTACCCTATCCAAAATGATAAAATTTCTAAAATTTATCCCGGGCCCACGTGCCCGGATTCTGGAAATTTTCGGATGTAAACGTTACCCATAATCTCAAGAACTCAAATATATAATTTCTACCCAATTCCATAACTATTTTCGTGGTTAAAATCTCATTTTTATAAAAATCTAGTTTTTTTACCTAAACCCTTGATTTCTAAGATTTACTAGTTATAATCTACTTATAATCTATGTATTTAACTCAAAGGGTATAGAATTAACTTACCTCCAAGTTGTTAGTTGAAACCCCCTTCTCAAAAGCTCTAAAATCGCCCGGAAATGGAGGAAAAATGGGCTCAAAATGTCTGAATCCCGACTTTTTAACCATTATATCCAACAGGCATTTCCGCACCTGCGGAAGGTGTACCGCACCTGCGGCTTTTGCACTTGTGGCTTTCGCACATGCGGAAAAGCCTCGCAGGTGCGAGCTTAACTTGACTGCCCAATTTTCGCATCTGCGCTCTTTTTCTTGCACCTGCGCGTTCGCAGGTGCGCCCGAGATTCCGCACCTGTGTTGGCAGGCCTCCCTTCCCTTTTCGCTTCTGCGCATAAACCTCACATCTGCGAGAGTCGCACCTGCGGTTGTCCAAGCGCAAGTGCGAACGTACCAGAAGCAAAAGGCTTCAGCTCTTCTTCAAAATTCCAAAATTGATCCGAGCCTCGTCCGATTAACACTCGGGACCACGGGGCCCCGTCCGAACATACCGACAGGTTTGAAATCATAAAACGGACTATCTCGAACTCTCGGAACGCGTAAAATAATATCAAATCTAAGAATCATACCCTAAACCAAATTGATTCAAACTTAAGAATATCAAGTTCTTCAATATACTTCCAATGCGCCGAAATATACTTAAACTACTCGGAATGACACGAAATTTTGCGTGCAAGTCTTAAATCACTATACAGAACTATTCCCAAACTTGAAATTCCAAACGGATTTCAATTACTCAAAAACCTACCCCAAACCAAATTTAAAGAAATTTAAACCTTCAAATAGTTAATGTTTTTACTATTAAGCGTCAAAACGCTCCCGGGTTATCCAAAACCCGATTCGAACATACGCCCAGGTCCAAAATCATCATACGAACCTATTGGAACCGTTAAATCCCGATTCCGGGGTTGTTTTCTTAAAATATTGACCGAAGTCAAACTTGTCCATTTAAAGCTAACTTAAGGAACCAAGTCTTCCGATTTCAACTCATACACTTTCAAATCCCGAACCAACCATCCCTTTTTAGTCATAAATTAATAAAAGTATATTTAGGGAGTTTTATTTTAAGGAACGGGTTTTTAAAAGTTAAAATAACCGGTTTGGTCATTACAAAAAACTTCGAAGGGGATAAAAAAGCAAAGAAGGGTTCAACTTATGCCTAACAGACTGAGGCAATTGTGTATAAGTTTCGATACCCCATGCGAAATTTCACCAAATAAAACCTAAAGTGGTCAATCAAACCATATCGTTTTTCTGAGGGATAGAGGAAGAACTATATCAGATAGAGAATACACAGCATGACTGCATCCTCATCATTCACCCAACTATGTCTGGTTATAATTTGTTTCAAGTACGGTTTCTCAACCTTTTCCTTGTTCAGCAAATAACTCCTCATTGTTTTACTATCATACTTAGTTGTGTAACCAAAGTCGGTTACTTTAGTAAAACATTTGAGGTCATTAATCAGAGCAAACTCCCCCAACCCAAAGTTCAGCCTCTCACCTTTCATCTCTACTATGAAAAAATTTGACCCGGATGTGTTCAATTCATACTTCATCAGAAGATGAATTGCCTGATTTTGGATACATATTTTGGGCATGCGAAGAAAGTGCCCAAAACATGTCTTCTTAAATAATTTAATACCATTTTCAGACAATAATACCTTGATTTGGGCAGGGATAACAAGGCCGGATAATGTTTGAAACCTAGTGATGCCATAATCAACATCACGTGGTGCAAAAAATCTCCGAATCTACACAAAATGAAGAAAATAGTTAATAAAACATGTTTAAAGGCAAGAGAACAAGATAATAAAAATGTTGATATACTTTATCTACAACCAGAAATATAATAATATATTGCAAATAAATAAATTACAAAATCAACAACTAATACAACAATTGAACTACAATTAAGCTATAAATGAACTGACAATTATTTATTTAGAGAAAGAAACTACAAAGTAACATACATTTAAAAAATTGGGAGGAAAACTAACCGCTCGACATAATATATATAATTTGTTTACAGAAAATAAAATTAACATCTACAAATAGAGCAAAAATTAACCAACAAAATCAAGTAAATCATGTAATACATACCCTAACAAAATTATTTCAAATAATATACAACAAATCTAGAAATATGTAGAAAATTTGATAAAAAACAAGAAATATATACAATGTACACAAACCTTTTACAATAATAGAACAAAAAATAAATGTATCAGGATGAGAATGAAAACATTTTTTAAGTAAGAATAACAACCAAAAATTGTAAGTACTACAATTTTATCTTCTCTAATGACTGTTGGGTGTATATTTTTAGGAGATTTTTGAACCTTCTTCTTTTTTGAAGGTTTGCGAGTAGAAGAAACTTTGATTTTTTTTTTATTACAGGTTTCAGAATAACTTCTTCTTCGACGAAATCATCATCACGAGCAATTTCTTTGTCCTTCCGTTTTACTTAGTTAGCATGTCGAAGCTTCAACAGCTCCCTGTCACACTTGAGTTTTGTTCGAGCCTCTGCCCTAACTTCACGAAGAGTAAGCTTGGACTTTCTCTTTGGTGTTGCATGTTTGAATTTCACCATTTGTTTGGGTGAATCCTTTGAGAAAGTACCCAAATCAAAAGTAAGAATATCACCAAGAGTAGCTGTTTAGGGCTATTCCCCGTAGTTTCTTTCTTCTTCATCGTAAGGGAAGGAAAATTTGAAGCAGTAACGATTTCGTAGGGATTTTGAGAGAAAAATCAGAAAATTTGAGAGAAATTGTAAAAGCTTTTTGAACAAAAATGGATGAAAGCCTTAATGGATGGAGAGAGGATCAGAATCA